AATCATAGGCAGAAAAGCAGACAATGAACTGCCTGTATAATCAACTAATTTAATGAATTTTAAAAAAAAGTTTTGGCTATGGTTGATGAGGGATTGTAGAGAACGTCGACGTAGCAGTGAGTATCAAGCCTCATGATCAAAAAGAACAATCGTATTGCATTTCCCGTATTGTTGCTCAAAAATATGTTTTTCAAGGATGTTGATTAATTGCTAGAACTATAGAAGCCATATTGAGCGGGAAAATTGTGATAGAACTCTAATGTACGTAAGCCTCAGCGCGCGAAAGTACGTACTCATCAAATCAAAACTACTATATATAGCAAAGATTGAACTTTTATTGCAATGACAAGAAGAGTTGTAGTAGAAAATAAATAGTTAATGAAGAGGTTGCCCCTTTTTGCTAAAACTTCCAACTATAAAACCCTGCTGATGAAGCAAAGTGATGGATAGAGTCAAATATTGTTTAATTGGCGATTTTGCTGAACTTCTTCATCCCCACTTTTTCATCTCTTGTAAGCCACTATCAAAACTTCCAACAAATCCGATGTCAACACCAGTTTTTATCATCTTAAATTCGTTTACGAAAAACACAATGTGACTTGTACAATGAACAACGTTCCTTTGTGCAAAGGTGCAGTATTGATTCCTACATCAAATTTTAATTCTTTCCAAATATAACATCGAGCATTGCGCGAATTATCAATTGTTAAAAAACTAAAGAGAACTCAGTTCTTTAAGTAAAGTACGCTAATAGATTTTCAGTGAAATGTCTTTCTGATGATAGCAATGTCAACAAGCAAAAGTATTTTTGGAGAGGGGGTCGAGTGGCGCGATTTTTTTCGGCTACCATTTTATATGCATGTTAATAACATATGAAATGGCTGTTCCATGAGTTTTTGAGTTTTCAAGACAACAAAAAGAAGTTTTAATTGTATGAGCTAAATGTTAGTGTATGGACTGCAGCCGCAAATTTCCCCATCCATTTCTTCGGAATTGCCAGACTTACAGCTTCATTCTTCAAATGGTTCTGTCTTATTATGATTTTGAGATTAAGTACAGCTTTCTTATTCTTTATTTGATTCATTGGAAGGAGCAAGATTACAATATGTGATTCCGCGTAATATAGAGCCCAATGCAGATGTATCGTTAGTGCAACGAAAGACGTGCCGCCCGATACACCCGTGTTTTTGCGCTATTTCTAACGAATTAATCACAGACATTATGTTTTATCCATCCCGAAAGTTAGTTAGAAAGTCTCCACAAGCGCAGTTTTCTCGCAAAGGCTTGTTGAGTTGCTTTTTGCTCGAAATCCGTCTAAAAAAATTGTTTGAGACTTAAGTAAGAATTAGTGTTTGGAAATTTGTAGAGATGGAATTGTAGGATGAGATTGAAAATTCCAAACAGCAGGGAAAGGTCCCTCCCGCAGCAACAAAACAGTCTTTGTATCTTTTTGGTTTGCCTTACCTGGTATTTCGTAATATTACTTAGTCTCGAT